AAAAGAGAGAGAGAAAGACCTCATGGATGTGAAAACCAGTGTGGCCGGCGACTGCAGTGGGGGGAGAGGGAAGAGAATACAGGAGGGATAAGTGGTAATGGAAAAAATTCACTAATGCAAAAATAATTTTTTAAAAAGATGACTTTGGGATTATTTATGAAGGAATGAAAAAATACTCTTCTTGCCCCTCAATTAAATGTCCCTTAACTGTTTTGATAGGTCGTTATTAAAGCAATAGCACACACCAAAAAAGGGGCACCAATGTAATGAAGTTTTAAAACCTGATCGGCATGACCAGTATAAAAATAAACCAAGAGATTTGCTGTTTTAAAATAATCCTATTAAAGTAGGTGGTAATCTTAAGATTATGCCACATACATTCATTTCAGTGATAGAATAACCTTGTAGTAGTTGACAAATTTAGAAAAACTAGATCTCAAACAAAAAAAAACCCAGTGAATTATTTACAACACTAAAACTTTCCCACAACTTATTTTTCTAAAAAAAAAAAAAAGAAAGAAAAAGAGGTTACAAAGATCAAACGTTATAAAGAGTCACTTGGTTTCATTGCAATCGCCAGCACGAAGACTTCTGTAATATTTTCTGACCACCTTAATTGTTTTCACACCACACATCCCTATTTTGGTTTTCCTGGCTGCTAACGTTAGCCTTTGGGCACTTAAACGTGAAACTAACTTTCTCAAAGTAGATGGTCAGAATATAGCTGCAAAACACTGCCCACTGCTCAAAATAAAATTTCTTGAGTATTCTACACCTACAGTGAAGCCAATTTATTGCAAAACGTTTAAGTTCCCAAAGCCCAACAACCCATTTTGAAAAAAAACCACCGATCAGACTCAACATCTGAGTCGAGTCTAATTCCAGTAGTTTTCATTGTCATAAGCCTTCGGATCAGTGATACCCACTCCCCTCAGATGCGAGATGCCGGCACACCCTGGAGCAGTGGAGACAACAGGTACTTTCCTGGAGCCTCCCAAGGAAATCATCTGTTCTCAAGTGCTTTTGATACAGGGGTCTCATCCTAAAACAAAAATTTGCCTCAGAATTCTATAAACTCCAAAGAGATGGAATCATTCCTTACCTCTCTTGAGTTAGACTTTCTAGTTTCCTCACCTACAAAACAATTCACGTCAGATTATCTCCCTTACATTGCAATCTTTCAAGTCTATTAATAGCCTTGACTGTAAATTCAGTGAAATGATCAAGTCTGTATAATATTATTTCCCTGCTTCAAGATCAGTAATCCTCACCTGTTCAAATGGGCTGACTGGTACATGCTTTTGCAGAACAGGCTGCAGGTCATTAGAGTGCTGCAGTTTCAAAGACAAAATTTCATTAGCTTCTACCACAGAGATGGCTAACTAATGCAAGGCCCAGCACCATCTCCACTTCCGCAGCTGGAAAAGGAAAGCCTGGCCTCCTGCTGCTGTCAGGCCAGGGGCTCGAGTAACCTTCCCCTTCTGTGGTTTAGGACCCGTGCAAGCTCGGCCCCTGTCTCTAACAGAGCTTCCTGGCCTTACCCTGTGGGCAAGGATGCAGCATACAACTGATGTGCAGGAGGGAAGAGAGCAGGGCTCACAAGGGCCTTCTTGTTCAGTTAGGGAATTAGTAACAACTTTATTTTCATTAACAAAATGCCCTATGATAATTGATCCCAAGTAAATCCTGTACTTGTTAAAATTACCTAAAATGTAAAGAAAAAAAATTGCAGAAGTGTCATCAAGAAAGATTACTTTTGTCTTCCTTGGTCAGCACTTTTAAGAATTTTTTTTTTTTTTTTTTTTGCCATTGTTTGACCTTTATTCTCTTTACGACCAGGGACACTGTCTTCCTAGTATTAGGATGTAAACACGTTTCATATTACACCAAAATGCTAAATGCATGGGTTACTAGAGTTTCCAAATATCTATCTTCAGATGACCTCTTACACATCAGAAAATTCAATTAGTAAAGGATTTCTAAGGGCCAGGGCAGAGGTCTTATTTAAATCGCTAAAGCAAGCCAAGCAACTACGCAGAGCCTGGCGTAGTCTTGCAGTTTGACAAGAGCCATCTTCAGAACAAAGATGCTTCTTGCAAATTAGGATGTGAAAATAAGTTACAACTGCCAGCTATGCAAGAAAAGTGCTAGCTCCCTGAACAAGGTCGTCTACAAAGTAAAACCAAACGTCACTTTTCTCCAACAGAGTAGGAATATTAGACCAAATCAACAGCAGGCTTATTTTCTCTCTAAACCTTCCAAGTTTTACTCTGCAGAATTTAAGTAATCTAACATTAGTTATATGAAGGAAAAACAACCTTTAGGTTTTATCATCAAGGTGGATCTTGGATAAGAACTTCCAAAAGGGGCTGCACAAGTGATACTTTGCTTAAAGAAGAACAGTTTAGAAAAGAACTACAAAGCTGTACTGACTACAGACCTGAACATGTTTAGACTGACTTTTTTATCCTCACCTTAGGACACTTTGTCACTGCTTTTAGACAGGGAGGGAGAAAACAGTGTGACTGGCTGCTTCCTGTACACGCCTGGACCTGGGATTGAACCCACAACCTTCCAGTTACGGACAATGCTCCAACTGAGCTGCAAGAGCCAGGCCAAGACTTCCCTTTTTACATTTTTTAGTTTATTAATTTGAAAGAGAAAAACGTAGATTTGTTGATCTACTTACCTATGCATTCACTGGCTGCTTCTTGTATGTGCCCTGACCAGTGACTGAACCCGCAGCCTTGGCGTACTGGGGACACTCTCGTGAACTGAGTTACCAGGCCCAGGCAAGACTTCACTTTCGTGTTGCTTTTTTAGTACAATCACTGTGCTACTTCTCAACGGACTTATACAGTCCTCCACTCTAAAAGACAATTCTGAACATGTAAAAAATTCTAACAAGATCACAAAACTAAATATTGCCTCCATTTTCAAATATACTGAAATCTTAATTAAAGTTTTTTAGAGAAAAAGGTTTTGGGGGCATTACAAAAATCACAAAATTTAGCCCTGGCTGGTGTAGCTCACTGGATTGAGTGCTGGACTGAGAAGCAAAGGGCCGCTGGTTCGATTCCAGTCAGGGCACATGCCTGAGTTGCAGGCCAAGTCTCCAGTAGGGGGAGCGTGAAGCAATCACACATTGGTGTTTCTATCCCTCTTTTCCTATCTAGAAATAAATAAAATCTTAAACAAACCAAAAACCCCCAAAATCACAAAACCAGTATCTTCTAACTTGGAGATATATACACATATATATATACCCTTAACGGATCATCAATTTCTTTACCAATTTAACAGTGATGAGAAAAAAAACAACAAAAAAAGAATTTAAGCACTATATTGTGCAGCTAGCCTATTCCTGAGGTTATTAAAATGCACTACTTTATATTAATTTCTGGGCAACTCAGAACTTAACAAGATTTAAATGAACTTAAAATTCTGTTTCTAACCCACAGATTACAAACCGTTTTAATCTATCTCTGCTTCACTGTTGCCTCATATAAATCAAAGAACTGTATTAACTAGTATAAAAAGTATTTTTTTCTTATAATAAATGCCAGGTACTGAATGAATGACGAGGTTTTTACCCACGAATGGCAGCAACACTTGAAGAGCATTTCAGGAACTCAGTGAGTTTTTCTTTTCAAAGTATAAAAGGATAAAAACCCAGATTAAGGTATTTTCAGGAGTTGCATTTTAATGACTTATTCAACACATCTGCAAAAACCAGAGCTGTGCAATTGTGCATCATGCTGTTGGATCTATCTCACAGCACGTATAGTCCAATACTTAGAACATAAAAGCAAAAAAAGAAAAGAGTTAAAACTCAGTTAAATCTACGTTATCCAGTGCCCAAATGAACAAAGGGATTCGATTTCTCCCAAAGTTTCGAATAATTAGCAGACCCGCTCTGGAACCCCAAGGGTGGGGGGACAGTTCACTTCCGCGTCCCTCTTTAAAATCGGAACTTCCGTCCCCAACATCATGATGTATCAATTGCCAGGCACCTCGCCGGTTTTGGGTCAGCCAAAACTAAAGCTGTATTTTAACCCTCATTTAACCACTGGACACCTCCTTCCTTCACACACAGGTTTACTTGCAAGAGCTCTAGCTCGGGGCTACCTGGGTTTGAAATCTGTCACTGTGTGACCTTGGTCAAGTGATTCACCCGTGTCTTATTTTGCTCTGAAAGAGAGGGGGAAATAACCTCGCAAGGTTGTTGGGAGAATTAAGTGAAATCTATATAAAGTGCTCAAAAAATGCCGGACACAGTAACAAGCGCCTTAGAAGCGCTTGCTATCATTATGATTGTAATTTATTAGATGAACACCAAGCGCTCAACACAGAGCCAAGTACACTGGAAAGATCGTAACTGTCATCATCGCTGGTTTCAACTTCAGATGCAAGTTCAGAAAAGAGCGCGGAGACGTCGTGAGGACCAAAACTTAAAAAGAGTATTTGGGAGCGCAGGAGATGGGTTTCAGCAGCCCCTTTTGAGATGTCCCAACGCTGGCCACTATCCCTCCCGATACCAACCCCACAAAAAGTATAAAAATAAGGAAGACAGGAAGGGAGCCCTCCAACCCGGAGAAACGCTACCTCATCAAATTGCTTTCCAAGAGGACGAGTAACTAGAAAGTACGGAACGTGCCTGCAGTTAGGACCCGGGTCCCCAACCTTCTCTCCTCCAAAGAATGGTCCGGCGTGTGGGGAACCAGGGGGTACGAACCGGAAACGTGGGGGTGGGGAGAATTTTAAAATTTCACGGCCAGAAGAAAGGCTGCACCCTAGTCCAATGAATGAGCGGAGCCGGGAGGGTCTGCGGGTTGGGCTAACTGCGGGACCCCGGCCGGCCTCCCACCCGCAGCAGCCCGGGGCCCGAGGGTCAACTCGCGGGCTCACTCTCCTCGGCGCTGCAAGCCCAACCGGCCTCCCAACTCCGCCGCACCCCCCAGCCACCAGCCTCATCTCAGCTCGCCCGCCGCCCCCTTCACCTTCCAGCAGCCGTTGGATGATGCTGTCGATGTTGAGTTTATCTATATCCGCCATCGCCTTCCCACCGCCGACCCTCCCGTAGCGGCGCCGCCGGCGGCTCGCGCCCGGGACTCACGCCTCCTCCCCCACGCCACGAGCACCGAGGCGGTGGTGGCAGCGGCAGTTGTAGCAGCCGCGGCGGGTTTCCCCCAACCGCCCCGCTCCCTGCTTCCTCCTTCTCTCCCCACTGGAACCACGAGAAGAACAAAATGGCCGCCGACTCCTTAGCCAGCCTCGGGCGGCGCACGAATGCGCGCGGGGGAGTGCAGCGGTCCGGCCGGGACTTCTTTATGGGCCATAGGGAGAGTGGTAGGGGGCGGGGCCTGGCCGCAAATGGGCGGGGCCAGAGCGCGGAAAGGGGGAGGAGACGGTTAAGAGTAACTGTCCTAGCGCGCGGGATTCTTCCGCCAAACGAGCAGAGTAAATAGGCCTCCTGGCGGGACTGTGAGTTGCAAAGTTGCGCGCGGGAGCTGGGGATGTGGGGGAGAAATGCAGCTGTGCATCGGAGTATTGCGGCCTCCATAGGATACTGTTCACCGGGGCCAGATGTTTGCAGACCTGTTTATGTGGAAGTCCACCGAGAGAATTCGAGGGTCCTGGAATTTACCCCTTCAAATAAACCTGGGATAGAGGTGGAGGAGAATAATAAAGAGAAATAGGTTGACGTATTTTAGATTCAAGTTTGCTGGGACTTGGGGAGAAGGGAAAGACTTCTTCCAGATAAATAAAAATGTTAACAGGTATTCATTATGAGTAGTGGGAATGTGGATATATATATCCGTATTTTTTGCACGTTCTGTAACTTTTACGCTGGGGAAAATATTTTTAATCCACCGTCAATTTTTTTTTCATTATCCATATGGTTGGATTATCGTTCTTGAACACGGACGTTATGTAATCACAGAGACAGCTACCCTGATTTTAGCCAGAACGAAGGTGAACCAGCGTGGGCAGATATAGGGAGAATTTGAAGATTTCGCGCGTTGGAGCTGGAGGCCGGAAGAAAAGAGCGAGTTTGCAGGGGCGGGCATTGCGAGCCGGTCCCGGGTTCTGCAGGTACTTTGGCCCATTGCTCTCCGCTTTCCAAGTTCGTCTCTCTCCAGGATACCCCCAAAAGTTGCCACTTCCGGGGGGGCTGCGCGTTGCCTTTAGCTGGGTTTGGAAGTGCAACCTACACAGCAAACATCCGCTCTCTTGGATCCTGATCTTTTCATTTCTCTGGTTTTGTTTTTTGTTTTGTTTTGTGTTTTTTACAAAGCTCTTTGCCTCCCCTGTGAAATTCATTTTGCTTTTCGAGGCACGCAGGGAGCACGAGTTCTCGTCCCCAAATGCTATCGATGTGATTGCGCCATCCGAGCATCCATCCTCAGAAGCGGTGTCCTCTGGGGGCCCGAGCGGCGGCAGGACACGGGCTCGTTGCAGGTGGACCTGTGGCCTTCTTGCTTCTGTCGCGGGACCTTTTGAGGCTGGAGGCTCCCTCTCCTCCGCACAGCTGCTCATTCTGCTTTCTCCAGTTACCGACTCACTCTCCAGAGCTGTAGCCTGTGCACCAGAAGGCACACAAGTGTCGTTTGTTAGCTCAGGGAACAGAGCCCAGTTCGTGACACTCAGAGCCAATGCCCAGGGCTGTTGGGAACAGCTGGATGTGGAGGTCAGGGTGGCTACTCCCCAAGGAGCCCAGACTTTGGCCTCGTCCAGGACAGGGCACATCATGGCAATAGTAATTAGAGCAGGAATATGAAAGACAGCGATTCATTCAGCGGACAAATATTTGTGGAGCACCCTCTCTGTGCCAGACATTGTTCTAGGCAGGGAAGCAGGGGTGAACAACAGAGACAAGGCCCTTCTCTCATGGAAAGTCATCTACTAAGCCAGCCAGACAAACAAAGATGCAAATAAAAATACCAGCGTCTGATAAGTGCAGTGGAGAAAAAACAAACAAACAAACCGGGCACTGTGCTTATTTTCTTATTACGTGCTAAAAATTATCTCACTGAATCCCGAAAACAATCCTGGGAATTATGTACTAGTCCTATCACACTGATTTGACAGGTGAAGAAGGTGAGACACGGATGCTAGGTTGTTTGCTGAAGGTCGTACAGGTAGTAATTTACAGAGCCAGGGCTGAAACTCAGGACAGCCAGGAAGCAAAGCTCTTCTATAAATCCCCACTGTGAATCCCCAGCGCCGAGCACAACCCCGGCACACACCAAACAAAGCGAGTGTGTTAACATTTGCTGATGTCATCAGGGCTGGAGGAGGACTTCAGACTGGACCGGGGCATGGGGAGGGTCTCTGTCCACCCGCCCATGCTCTGCTGGGCTACTCCCCTCCAGAGTCCAGTTTTGCTGGCACATGTCTAGGGGAAGTCGCTGGCGCTGAGCCTGAGAGTGGCATGAGCTTGCAGAGTAGGCCTGAATGGCTCCCGGAACACAGCTAATAGCTCTGGGAGGAAGGAACGGATCCCCTATTGGCCTTTTTCTGACATTTTCAACGTGAGGGACCTCCCTAAGGATCAGCAGACAAACATTTGCCAGAAAAGATACTAATAAGTGGAGTGTCCCTTCCTCTCTCCAGATTGCCTATTTGCAAAACGAGGAGAGTGGATTAAAATGTACTTTTCCAGCTGTCTGCCTTGGATCCACAGTGGGTTTTAGGGGCTTGCTGAAGCTGATGGGGTTCTGGTCCCCAACCCTTGGAGTCAACCAAAGCAGAATCATGGCACAAAGTAAACACTCAATCAAAATAAACTATTATTACTGTGAACTGTTTTAGACATTGAGCTTCCCTGTAAGATTTGAAGAGAGGGCTGTAGCTAAAAAAATATTTGAAAACCAGTAGTATTTCTAAGGATGCTGTAAGCTTTGAGTGCCTAAAGGGGCCCCACTGTGAACACGGAAGACGTAAGGCAGGCGGAAGGGTCCACGGTGAACTGGAGAGCTATGCCCCTCTGAGCGGTGGCCCCTTCCCCGCTCCGGTCTGCTTTCGGAGACCTTGAACGTATAAATTTTTGTGTGAAATGTTCCAGTTTTTAAAAGCTGGTCATAAACTCAAATTCTTCGAAAACACTGCGTGAGGCTGATAAAGCAAATCTGTGGGTTACATTCGGCTCTAGGCCAACAATTTGGAACTTTGTTACAAAAGGTTGGGGGTGAGCTCTTCACTCTCCTCCAATTCAATGGGCATTAGAATTATTGTTCAGTGATTGAAAGAAATGTTGTGGATGGAACTCCCAGTCTAGTGGAAGAGATAGCTAGGAAGAGAAGAAGATAATTCCAGAGAGTCATACATTCTGTGATGGAATTAGGAGGCGTCCTGGGACCACACAGGAGAGGGACTCCGAGGATTTGATATTTGAGTCAAGATCGGAAGGATGAGAAAGAAAATCAGGGACGGACTACGTAGAAGAAGAGTAGTCCTCACAAGGACACAGCAGGTGCAAAGGGCCTGAGGCAAGAGCAACCTTGCAGCGTCAGAGGAGTGAAAAAAAGGCTAGAGGGGCTGGAGCGGGGTGCGGGGGCCGAGTGTTAGAAGAGTAGGTCCAGGTGGACCAAGGCAGATCACTCCGGGCCACAGAAATGCGTTCCGATTTTATTCTAAGTCCGATGGGGAACCACTAGAAGGTTTCAGGCAGAGAAGCAGAATGATTGGATGCATTTTTACATAAGGTTTTTATTTTAAAATCGTTTTAGGTGTACTGAGAAGTGGTAAAGATAGTACAAAAGGTTTCCATGTACTTTTCACTCTGTTTCTCCTTAATGTTAACATTGCGCACAAGCATGGCATAGCTCTGAATTTTTCAGAAGACCTAAATCATAAAGAAATGTTTAGCCTGGGGGGTGTGGCTCAGTGGATTGAGCGCGGACCCGTGAACTGAGGGGTCATTGGTTTGATTCTAGGTCAGGGCACATGCCTGGGGTGTGTGCCAGTTCCCCAGTGAGGGGCGTGCCAACCGATTGATGATATTTGCACATTGCTGTTTCTCTCCTTCTCTTTCTCCCTCCCTTCTGCTCTCTCTAAAAGTGAATAAACAAAATCTTAAAAAAAAAGAAATGTTAGAACACAAAATATATAGCATCATTATCGAGAGAACCTCTTTTAAATAAGATCAGATTTCATTTTTTTTAAAAGATTGCATTTATTTACTTTTAGGGAAAGACAAAGAGAGGGAGCAAAACATTGATCAGTTGCCTCTCACACGCCCCCAACTGGGGAGCTGGCCCACAACCCAGGCATGTGCCCTGACTAGGAATCAGGGCCAGCGACCTTTCCGTTTGCAGGCCGATGTTCAATCCACTGAGCCGCACCAGCCAGGGCAGATCTGATTTCATTTGCAAAAGATCCCTTTGGACTGTAGGTGGGCAGCAGCGGAAACTGAGATCAGGAAGGGGACTGATGAAAACTAGAGCACCCATGCTCTGTGCCTCAGTCTCCTCATCTGCAAAACGGGGATGATATCACCCATTTCAAAGATTGTTGTGAGAATGTACTTGGGGAGATGGTGGTGATAATGAAGACAACGATGACTGAGGATGATGATGATGATGGTAGCTAGCATTTATTTACTGAGAGCTTTCTGTGTGCCAGTCTCCGCTCGTGGCCTTTCATGCATGACCAGGGAGAGCAGACTCTCTGGGATGTTCCCAGAAGTCTTCTTTGTGGAGAGGGGGGTTAGAGGGGTCTTTCCAAATCTCTCGAACCATCCTTGGTTTCTTAGGGAGTCCATGTTAACGTTGGGTTGTCTCTCTCTGAGAAGGCTCCAGATGTACTCCCATCTGGACTTACCCAGCAGAGGAATTAGGATGATTACCGCCTTGCTAAATGTTCCTCGGCTTCACAAAATGACTCACTCCGTGGTCGGGGAGGCAGCAAGCTGTCCTGGTGTCTGGAGGGTGGATCGCACTGTCATTTGGAAAATGACAAGTGACAAACGGAGGCTCATTTTAAAGTAGGCTCACTTGAGAGCAGGGTCTCTCAACCCGGGCCACTAGCGGTATCTGGGGCCAGGTTGTCCTCTGTTGCGGGGGCCGTCCTGTGCATTGTGGGGTGTTTAGCAGCATCCCGACCTCTATCAACTAGATGCCAGAAGCACACCGCGTTTTCCTAATCATGACATTCACAGAACGTCCCCAGGCACCACCACATGTCTGCTGGGGGTTCAAAATCATCCCCCCCCTGCCCTTGGTTGAAAACCACTCCGTTGGAACATTTGGGGCCTGTGGCAAAGTGGCTTTGAAGTTGTT